GCACCGCCCCCTCACTCACTTCCTCAGCGTCACCCAGTCAACCCGTGCGAGTAGCCTGCTGAGGCTCTCTCTCTCTTTAGCTCCTTCGAGGCCCTGGTGACATTTCACTGCAGGCCACGTTAGCACACTGAGTCAACTGCACTTACCTGATGCATCAGGTGCAGCACGAGATGCCCTACTTCTCACCTGAAACCCAGGTGCTGTGTGTAATAGGACTCTCCTCTCCTGCTGTACTTTTCTCCCAGCGAAGACATGGCTTTACGGTGAACATGTGTTCACTGCTGCACCCCACTTCCACAAAGGCAAGAACTTTGTTTGGTTCAGGGGTGTATAGTCACAGGGCCTAGAAGAGTACCTGGCATACAAACCCAGAACACCAAATCTAGTGCCATCAAGTTGATTCTGACTCACAGCGCCCCTAGAAGACGGAGTGGACCTGCACCACAGGGTTTCCAAGGCTGCCATCTTTATGGAAGCAGACTGCTTCATCTTCCTCCTGTGGAACAGCTGGTGGTGACCTCCTGAAGGCAAAGTTTTGGTTAACAGCCCAATGCTTTAACCACAGCACCACCAGAGCTCCTTACCTGGCATACAGCAGGTGTTTAATAAAAAAAAATCTGTTGAATGAATGAATAATGTCTGATGGAAGGTGAGGTACAAGACCTATGTCTTAAGTACCAGAAATGTTCCCCGAAACATGAAGTTATTAATCTACTTCTTCAGAGCTATTACAAAAGGAAAGACTCAGGCCAGTCCCGTCCAGGCCTTCATAAGCCCGGAGGAGGGCCACTGAAGACACGTGGGTACAGGAATGCAGCACAAGGGGGAGACAGAGCCCTGGTCTGCAGTCAGAGCAGATGCACGTCTCTGTGCCCTCACTGACCAGCTACGCAGTGAGACTCCATCAACTGCTCCCGGCTTCCTCACTGGAACATGGCAGTGCAGTAATACCCACCTGGCAGGGCACACAGGTGAAGAGAAATCTGCCAGATGAGCTCCTGCGAAGAAGCCTGGTATTGTCTGTGACAGCATGATACTCTAGTATCCAGTGATGACGATGAATTCCCATGTCCCTAACATTAAATGCTCCTCACGCCAAGACCTCCACCATCCCCACAGTGACAACCACGCTTGCCTTTGGAGTTCCTATCTAATGCAGGAGTCAATGCTGGCCACACCTATTACAGTATGCCTACCCACACACTGTCACTTATCAGTCAGGGGACCTGGGGCAGGCTACTTCATCTCCTTGGCCTTTTCTTCCAGAGTATGAAAACCTACCGCTTGAAGTTCTAAAGATAAAATGAGTTAGTACATTTACCTGAGGTAGATACACTCCTTGGAGAGAACAATCATGGGAGAAAGAAGGGCTATTTATGCACAGGGAGACAGCTCAGGGGGCAGGAGTGCATGGAGGGATGGACACAGGGAATAGGTAACTATTGGGAGGAAGTGGGAAGGGAGCTGTTGCATCGGGGTAAATTGTAGTCAATGTCATGAGACAAAGTGTATGTGAACTGCTGCATGGAAAGTGAATTCCTCTGTAAATTTCCACCCAAATTACAAACAAACAAACAAACAAATGAGTTAGTGAAGACCACTTACGACAGTGTCTGGCATATCCCAAATGCTCAGATATCAGCAGCCATTATCACAGAGCCAATGCACGGCAACTCCGTCCTATGGGAAAGCCAACCAGAACCTACCATGGGAGTCAGCCATATGGGAGACTCAGCCAGCACCTACCATGGGAGTCAGCCCTACAGGAGAGCCAGCAGAACCTACCATGGGAGTCAGTCATATAGGAGACTCAGCCAGAACCTACCATGGGAGTCAGTCTGACAGGTAGACCCAGCCAGAATCTACTATGTGAGTCTTAAACTTTACTTACTTCCTGCAGGGGAAAATTTTAAACAAACAAAATATACCCTCCATTTACAAAGACAAGCAAACCAGAAAGTACTATTCATCAGACACACAATGAGGGCAGACACTCATGGAGTCCTGTCTGTGTGCCCATCACTGTTTTATGCATTCAGATGCCAACTTACTTAACTGTCACTAGGGGTTCTGGTAACATAGTGCATAAGGCACCTGACTACTAACCAGAAGGCTGGCGGCTCAAACCCACCAGCCACTCCTTGGAAGGAAGGTTGGGCAATCCTACTTCTGTAGTGATACTGTCTCGGAAACCCAAGCAGGGGTCGCTATGAATCGGGTCTGACTTGATAGCAAATAACAACACAACTGTATGAGGTACTGTTGTTATCTTCCTCTTACAGAAGGGGAAAGGGAGACCCAGGGAGGCTAAGTGACCAGTTCAACAGCATCCAGCTAGGCAGGGGTGCAGCCTGGCCCTGAACCCATCCTAGCCGGCTCTGCAGCGCCTGGCTGCTCCCCACACTCTGTTTATGCTGGCAGTCTGTTCCAGGGACTGACACGGCCGTGACACTGGATGTGCACAGTGGTACACTGGCAGGTTCTCCCAGTGCTGCTAAGAAGCGAGGGCTGCATGCTGTCTTCAACGTGTGTCCACACCGGCACAGGACGAAACACCGGAGCTCCTTAAAGGCCTATCTGAATGACACTTACGAGTGGCAAGAGTACCAGCAGCACCTACATGCTGAAAAGCACAACTGCAGAGAAAAAAGAAATCCCCCACTAGGACCTAGTGTTTGACTCAACGGCTGGAAAAACCGACAGGAAAAATGGAGCGACTTCTCCATGAGCACCTCGTCTTGCACTCAGTACACACTCGACCTGATGTGCCAACATGAACAGTGTGAACATCCAGAAATGGCCAGAAGGAGCCAGTTCACCCTGGCAGTCAGAGAACAGAGAGGCCGCAGTGCTGGCGGGTGGACGGCCGCTCAGGAGCACAGCCCGCCAGGGGTTTCCACCGGGACAGGAAGGGGGCCCTGCTGATGACGCAGCTGACCCGTGGTGCACGCAGTGCCGACAGGAAGGCAGGCTCGAGGACCCTGCTCCAGAGGGCGAGGCAAGACTGTCCCGACTCCCCACCCAGGGCCGCTCTCCTGTGGAAAGGAAATGCACGTGGACAAGACTGTGAGGGAAACACACACAGACTGCTTCTCACTGACTTGATGACGATACGGACAGCTTTCAACAGTGTCCGTAATCCAAAAATACTACACTTGTCGTGTATTTAACTTGGACAGATCTGGCGTTGGTCTAAGTCTGTTGTGGCGGATTCATAATTGAAGTAGACCGCCACCAACCAGTCCTACTAGGCTATGAAGAGCGAGGTGATTGGAGATGCAAGCATGTGTAATCACACTACCCACCAACTAGAGAACTCATCATAGTCTAAGTTGATAACGATTCAACAAACACCCGTTTTAATGATCATAATGGTAATATTAAAAACAGCAGCAATTAAAAACTATAATCAAACATAACAAAGAAAGAAAGGAAGGGGAAGGAAAGAAGTAAAAAAAGGCTCAAACCAAGTCAAGACAACAGTACGATGAAATTCTTCCTGGAAACCTGCAAGAATGCCAGTGATGTGCAGGGAAGATTGGTAACATCACAGAGTTCTGTCTGCGTCCTCAAAAGGCTTTCCAGTCTGAGAAACCAAATCTCAGTAACCCCGAATTTACTTCTTGGCACCATGTCCCTGGCTCTATGAGGAAATGAAAGTCAAGGAAATGGGGTCAAATTTCTCCTCAGAACAAAGAATTGCAGTTTTTAGACCTGTCCCAGGGTCATGCCGGGAACCCCCAGTCCACCATGCACTGCAGGTCACAAAGAATCACTGATTTAAGACCAGTTTTAGTGCAAGATCAAGTTTACCTCCCACGCACCTCACTCACATGCACCAGAGGAAGAAGGCCTCAACGCTATCTGGACCTAAGTGGAAGGTGCCCAGCCCCTCAGGGATGCCCTCCTCTCACGTTCTAAGTTGGACACTGCTGCTCTGTGTACGAGCTCTGCTCAGCTTTCTCTCAGTCATACTCACATTCATCCTGAGAAGAGGAAATTATCTCTATCTTACAGATGAGAAATCTGAGGTCCGGGAAAGTAAAGTGACTCGCTCAAGGTCAAGTTCAGTATTTCCTCATCGGCATAGCTGGCACTTGAATTCAGACTTCCTGTTTGCAGTTCAAGGACTCTGTGCCCCACAACTACCAGAGGTCAAATTCAGAAACCAGATGAAGCTACATGAAAAGCTTTGTGAACCAGGATCTTATCACGAAGACTATTGGTCACCACCTGCCCCTGACACACATGTGCCCAGGCCCACCCTTGAGCAAGTCAGTCTCTACTGGGGTCCAGGCACCAGCTTTGTCAGAAGTGCCCAAGAATCTACCATGTGAGCGCAGACACGCCAGGTGAGCTGCCGGTGCGCCAGGCTGAGGACTCCTCGTGACACCAAGAGCGGCCGTGCTGTCAGCACAGTTCTCACTCCCACCAGCCCCCTGGACCTATGCCTTGTACGTTCCTAACCCCTCACCCCGTAACTAGACGGGCTCTGACAGAGTTTCATGAGACCAAAGTGGTGACTTTAAAGATCTTAGGGTTACCTATCAGAGAAATGAACAAATAGGCACGATACCAACTACATAAGAGTACTTTTTGTTGTTTTATTTCACAAACTACTCTAGCTGGTATTTAGAATATTAAATTTAGAAGTGTAGCCTTCCATTTATGCTACCAGAACACTGAAGTCTTCAGCTGAAGGAAAACAACGCATCCACTTTTAATGTCAGTCGTGGAGTGGACTCTGACTCAGGATGGCCCACGTGTGTCAGAACAGAACCGCCTCCCAGGGTTTCTAAGGCCATACATCCTTATGGGAGCAGACTGCCTTATTTTTCTCCCACAAAACTGCTGGTGGGTTCAAATCACTGTGCCACCAGGGCTCTTTCATTAAATATAATAAATGAAAACAACACTTGAGGTATTTAAAGGGCAGATCAGATGGCAGCTGGCACTGAAAAATCACTGTGAAGATACTGGCTGCTGGACACCAGTCTTACCTTTTGCAGACTTGTTGGATTCAACTGCGTTTTGTCAATTATTTTTATTGCAACCTAGAAAAAAAATAAATTAACAAATATTTATGGATGTAAAGAACTTTGTAATTACAGACTAACTGGTTACAGTTTTCTAAATCTCAGACATATGCATTATTAAAAAGCTAGCAAGCAATCATGAGAACAATCGAAAGCTTACTTACAATAAGCAGTATTTTACCACTGAAATCAAGGGCTTTGTGAAAATAAGAGGGTTGTCAGATTTTAGATTTAAGTTACTTATGAATAAGGGAAAGAATTTCCCTAAAACCAGACTATGTATCAGTAAATAAGAGATGATAATGTAACACAACAACAACAACATAACAACAACATCCCGAGTACACAGTAATGAAGCCCACTTCTTTACCCGCCGCCTCTTGGGTCTGGGGCAGCCACGGCGGCTGCCTCTTCTCGTGCTCCACACGCAGTGGGAGCTTGAGAGCTTAGCAGACAAACAGATAAGTAGGTAGTGAATCTGAAAACTTTACAACTGTTGCGTGTTTCAAAGATCCCTGTAGGCTTCAAGCAGCTACAGAAGGAAAAAGGATAATGCTAGGCCCTCATGGGCCAGCCCAGCGAAGTGTGCACAGAGGCAAAAGACGGGCCACCTAGCAGTCTCTGTCCAGAGGGTGTAAGTACACAAACAGGTCACTGGGCACAGGAAGAAAGGAAGTGTCAGAGCCTCCAGGTGGGCATTTCTCACCTTAAATAAAAAGTCAGCTCTCCTCATCTCCAGGAAGGGACTGACACCAACCTCCAGCCCACCAGCTGTCACCTACCACACAGGGCATTTCTAGGAACTAGGAGCATCCAGCTCAGAAGGAAGGTTGGGCAATCCTACTTCCGCAGTGATACTGCCTCAGAAACCCAAGGAGGGGTCGCTATGAGTCGGGGCCGACTCGACGGCAAACAACAACAACAACAACAGGAGCATCCAGAATGGGGTGGGGAGGGGTGGAATGTGATGGGATGAGAAGGAAGAGGAAGTTGAGAAGCTACGCATGAACCAGGGGTGTACATCAAGCTGGCTTTGCAGCTAAGTTCCTGCAGGGCTTCCTACTGGGCTCTTGGCAGACATAAGGCCAGTGAGACCCTGCAGAAAGGGGCTGCGGCTCAAGCCTGGGGACTGCTCTCGGGGACTCTCTCGGAAATGGTCCCAGTCATTTTATTGCCTCCTTCACACTCTTATCGATGACCCACAGAACTCAGGCTTATGTTGGTTATGTCCATCAACAGTGACTGTTTCAGCCTTGAAAACTCAGACGTAAAAATAGGTCTTTAACAATTCATGTCACAACAACAGTGATACACCCTCCGGAGCTAAACATACAAATGGCCTCAGTGGTGGAATTCTCCTGTGGGATCCTGCAGTCACTGTCAGTGCCACCTGCTAGGCGGCCTCTAGAAACGCCACTGACACTCTTGAGAGAATGAAAAAGGGGTGTCTCAAAGCGCGGGAAAAGCAGTTCTGACCTCGCAGAGCCTGCAAGAGTCCCCGGGAACCTGCCGGGGTCCCCAGAGCACATTTTCCAACCTGCTGCATGATGCACGGGGACATTATTTAAAGCAAACAACTAAACCCGCTTCCCTTGGTGTCAGATGCCGTCTCCCGACTGATCTGCTTCTGATGAGCCCAGGAGCCCACAGAGGTGCTCAGAAAGCCCAACCCTGAAGCAGGAAGACACATGCCCTGGAAGGAGGAAGCGGGGTGGAACTGGAGAGGAGTGGAGCTGGAATGAGTATATGTGTGTGTATGTGTGCTTGCAAAGTGAAGTCAGACTCTTAATTCTGTATGTGGAAAACACAAATTCCAACAAAAACTATAGTAAGTTACAGCAAGAGGAAATCCTGGCTGCAAAGCCCGTCTGCAGAAGGTCAGCCGGGGAGAAGACGCCTCTTGCCTCCTTCCTGTCTGACTGCTCAGTAGCGGCTGGGGTGAATGGCACCAACGAGCAGGAATGGAGCACATCGGAGAGAGAAGCAGGAGGACCGCTGGTGTTTGGGCAGATCCCGATCTTTGCTTTCACAGCAGTCTGCCACGGTGTGCCTCGGCTTCCCAACTTCCAGAGAGATTTCTCAAACCCACTGCCCCTCCGCTGGCCCCATTCTGCTCTCCACCCCCCTCTGTGCAAGCCCCTCCAGTCGCATGTCTCTGTGCATCCTCCTCCTGAGTCAGGACTGACTCCGTGGCAACCAACGACAACATCCCAGCAGTCCTGGACTCAAGGTTCCAGTGCGATTCTCTTCTCCCCATTTCAGCTTCCAGTACTGTTGCTATCCAAGGGCTACCTAAAGCAAAAACCAGATCCCAAAGCAGGTTGCATTCAGTTTAAACTGACTGTAGAAAACATATGTTTTATGCAAGGCAACAGTGTCCCCAGAGTGAAAAGTTATCATTTAATGTGACAAGTGCACGTACGGCAATGAAGGCTGAAGGGGAAGATCCTAACCCCTCTCCTCTCAGCTCCCCGCAGACTGAGGTCGCCGGACAGGAGGCAACGTGGGCCACACTGGGAGATGCCTTGGCAAAGGAGACTGGGGACAAGACCGTCCACTCACGCCCATGCAGCAGAGCTGTGGGGGCATGGCAAAAGCCAAGGGGGTTCACTAGGGGAGAAGACTCACTAGGAGAGAGAAAAAGGAGCAGTGCTGCCCCTTGTCCTGACCATTCTGGGAAATTCCATTCCTTCCCTCTGCTGCCAGAAGCCAAGTGGAAAGTTACAGAGTGGAGAGACACACAGCTCATGTCTGCGAAGGGGTTCCCCCAGCACACTTCAAGAGACTGGTCCCAGCAGACCCACAGCCGCCATCACTGGGGCAGTGGCTGAATGGGCCCCTCAACATTTCACTCCTGGGCGACAGACCCTAACAGCCTGTTCCTTGAGTGGTAAAGCACCTTAACGGCCAGAGCAGCAGATAGAACGGAGCCCAGCCCTTGAAAGGAAGGGCCTGGTGAAGGAGACGGAGCACGGCCCAGTGAATGACTTCGCCTGGCTCTGTAGGCCTGCTCTTTGTGACTCTCACTACGTGAATGGGTGGTACCATGCAATATGAGGTGCTTGTTGCCCACCATGCAGACTGGACAGCCTGCTAATAAGGTAAATGCACTCCTGGGGGGGAGGGCACATGGAAATCAGGAGTATGGAACCCTAATGTGGGGCCTGGTCAGTTCTGTCATCTCACTAGGTTTAAAATGAGCCCTCCCAGAGGCAGAAAAGGGGAGCTCCCTGCCATCGAAAGAGAAGGTGAAAGTGGAAGGCAGCCTTGGACCCGAGATCCCTGTGCTGAGATGGCGAGAGTGGAACTGAGCAGGACAAGCCGGCAGGAGACAACGGTGAGCTTGCTGGTCCCCGGAGCCAGGAAGCTGAGTGCCTCTGGGCAGGCGGTTCACTGGTGGAGCGGGGCACACCTACCGGCAGAGCTAAAAGGGCTCTGTAACATTTGCCCGAGTAGGGCGAAGGCCAGGCCAAGGGAAGGCTGTCCTGATCAGAGAATAATATCCGGAGCATTCCTGAACCTGTTACTTCTCTAATAAACCCCATAATCTTGAGTACTGTCTGTGAGTTCTGTGTGGCCATTGCAACCAATCATCAATCCAGCAGAGAAGCAGAGATGCTGTGGGAGGGACAGCTGGTGTCAGATTGGTAAAAAGGCTGAAGAATGGTGGCAGGTCTGACTTTCGCCTTGTAGGAATCAGCCTTGAGCTGTTGACGTGATTCCATCTCCCACTCGTGAAGTTAGAGGAGGTCGGAAGATACTGCCTCCATGGCCTTTATGCAATAAGCCAAACTCCAAGAGTTGGCAATAAAAACCTTTATATAAAAATGTAACCACATACTATGCAGAAGAATGCCACGGGCACAAGAGGAAGTCAGACACAAAATGAACCAGACAAAATGATCTAGACATCAATGAGCCCTTTTTAAAAACGAGCCAAGGTAACCTACAGTGTCAGCAGCAGGGAGGGTGGCTGCCTCAGGGAGGAGGAAGGAAAGTGACCAGGAGGGGGTGCAAGGAGACTTCCTGGTGCTGGTCACCCTGGGTCATGGGAACACAAACATGTTTGCTTTGTGTCAAGCTGTACATTCCTGATGTGAGCACTTTCTCTGTGTGCTGTATTTCAAGAAGTCCATTTTTCAAAAAGTTGATGATGACTTAAAAAACGAGAAGTCAATTGATAATGCCTAAAAAACCAAAGGGAAAAATATAAGCGTGTTTTTAAAGGTACAAAAGTGAAACACCACTAACAGTTTAAAAGCCTGTCTGGGGAGATTAGGAAATGGGTGGGGCACGGAGACTAGGTTATTTTCGTAAGCCAACTCTTTAAACTGTGCAATATAGAGGCTGAATGAAAAGGACAAAAGGTTTTTTCAACATCATACTGAAGACATCCGGCCAAAGGCGGCAGAGATGACATACATTTACCACTTCTCCCATCCAAAAGCCCAAATTAGGAACAAGGACAGAACCACAAGTGACCACACACAATTTCTGGGAGACAGAATGTGATGAAGGCGTAGTGGCCTTGAGTGTGGTCAAAGGAGGGTGCAATCCAGGAAAACCTCAACTGTCCAGAAAAATACCCCTGTGTGTTTGGAAAGAGCCAGCATAAGGGCTAATCACCCCTCAGTCACAAGCTAGTGCAAACAACGGACAGTTTCACTTAAGCAAAAATTAAATACTGAACTTGGAACACACGTGCATTGAGAGCAATGGACGTTAACGGAACAGAACACAAAAATTCATTGATGGGGTTTTAGACCCCACCCTGCAACTAACCTGTAAACACTACCACTGTGGTGACGTCCGGCCTGAGCGAAAGAGAGGAAGATCCTCAACGAGATAGTCGACGAGAGGCTGCAACAATGGGCTCAGACACGGTGGCAACTGTGAGGGCGAGGATGGTGCAGGTCAGGCGAGACCTCCCTCTGCTGTCCACAGGGTCACTAGGGTCGGAAGCCACTCGAGAACACCTAACCACCACCAGCTCTGCCACCTTCTGGTCAGAGAGCAGG